CATCTTACCTTTATGTCAGTTCTTTATTACGTGATGTAAAAAGGTTAATAACATAATGTGAATATATATTATGGAGACAGTCACGGCGTTCCATATTATATCAACACTTTATTACGTTATGTCAAAACTCCATTCCTTTATGTGGATATTTAATAAGAATATGTTAACTCTTTCTTATGTGATTTAAAACTATCTTTACATTGTGTTAATTCTTTATCATGTTGATTACAAATGTTCATTACGCGCTGTAAAATACATTTACATTATGTCAAAGTTGATAACCGTGTTTTCAGGACTGGGAAGGGGATGGGGGGGGGGGTCCTGATTAATTAGGACGAATTACACATTATATGAGGGGGGGGGGGTCTGACTTCCTCTTTTTTCCGACATAACTTTATCATAGAAAATGTTCATTGAAATACAGTCCCAAGTATAAGGGTAATGTAGTATATTTGGAATTTTTTAAAGGACTGATCGAAGTTGGACCCCCCCTCCTTTCACCCGAAATAGGATTTTCGAGTTTGGATTTTTTTTTCGCTTTTTCTTGTACGTTATTTTTTTCTGGCTGACAAACCTCCCCCAGCTTTCAAAAACGATGCAACGTCCACTGGAATTAGTAATTTTTCAACCATTCCAGGACCAGAATTCTGTTACAAAAATCTACGTTTTCACTTAAATTAACACGGGGTCATATCAGTTGCGATCTTGGGTTCTTGAAAAGAGTAGCTATAGGGGGACGATATGGTGTCTAAGTTTGGGACCAGGGGGTGAAAGCCCGAAAGCTCTCAGGCTTTAGATTTTTTTTTAATAAAACGTTTCAACTTATTTCAGTTATACTTTATGTAAAACTAATGCAATGTCCTACAAAGTAAAATCAATTGATTAATTTCATGCATATTTTGGTCACTTAAGATGGGAGGGCGGGATCCTCCCTTTCCCCACCGACCCACCAGTGCACGTATGAAATACGATGTATTTACACTTTTTTTTTTTTGAAAAAGGAGGGTTAAAGACTGATAAAAAGCTTAGGACAGTGTTTTGTAGTTAGATCAGAAGTTTCGGACTTTTCAAATCGTCAATAAAGATTCCATGGGAACATGATCCTATTTTTAATTTAACCTGATATTTAATTAAGGATTAATTAAGTCTTGTGTATAATTTAATATTTGATACGTTTAATTTAAATCATTTGCAAGTTTAACATATGTGCATGTAATATTGAAAACACAAAACGAACTTTTAGGCTTAACCTAAACCTTACGTCACATAATAAAGAGTTGAAATATTCTAAAATATACTGACGAGAGGCTAAGCATTTTAGACACAGTGTAGAGATACAATGGCATAACATAATAATGATTTGTCAAAAAGTTAGGGAAAATTGACATCATGTAATAGATTCCCGGCGTCATGTAGCATATTGATGACACAATATAGTAAAGAATTGGCCACATGTGACAATTTTTTTCATATCATATATGAAATTCTGGCATCGTGTTATAGCGACATGATATTGAATTAAAGATAAATTCACATCATGTAATGAACTACTTAGACCAAATAGCAGAGAGTGCACATAATGTAACAATGAGTTTAAATTATATAATAACATCTTGACACCACGTTAAATTGTTTTGACTTAATGTCATGAAGAGCTGATATAATGCAATGGAAGATTGGCGCAATGTAATTGAAGTGCGAGTTAATGCAATAAAGACTTAACATACTGTAATGGAAAGTTGACATAACGCAATAGTAGTGTGTGTTAATGTCATAAAGAGTTGACATAATGTAATGGAAAGTTGACATAACGCAATAGTACTGTAAGTAAATGTCACAATGTGTTGACATAATGTAATGGAAAGTTGACACAATGCAATTGTAGTGTTCTGCTATAAGGCAGTGACGGCGTTCCTTACATTACCATTGTGCACCTCCTATTTTTCTTTTTGATCTGACACCTAATTTGGGTTTACCGACAACAGCAAAATATGTACTTTGCCATTATAACCATATGGGAGGCGGGGGTATCATTTAGATGCATCAACATATGCCAGTGGGGGACAATTGACAAATTTCCTCCTATATGATGTATTTAACCACAAACTTTTTTTTCACTTTCGTTTTCTCTTTGCTTGATTATTTTCTTTTCCTAACTTTGTATAATGGATAGTTGATTTTGTTCTGATTGTGAAATTATCTCATATTATGAGGAAATAAAGAATGAATGAAAATGACACCCCGTCTGAAAAAATTCTTGGTCTGTCCTAAGGCTTAATAAATGGTACAGCACAAAGTGCGTAGGATTTTATACCGGTACCTATTATTGCCCTAACGGATGGTTAGAGAGAGAGAGAGAGAGAGAGAGAGAGAGTTCGAGAGTTCAATATACAAAAGAGTAAATAAAAATTATCCTTACTCAACCAGGTTTCAAGCATCCCTACCCTAGCTTTTAAAATTATCTCCAAAATACTCCTACAGAAATTATATTTATATATAAAAAAAAACATAGCTAGACTGTCAGGCAGGGATACTGAAATCTCGAAAGACTTCCTGTAACAACATATTTATAAAACAGTCACATTCCTCAAAATACACATACTTTGTGGTCGGAGAAACATTTTTTAAAAATCTCAAAATTGAATTCGGCAGAAATGTCTGTCTTCCAAGAATATTTCAATAACGGTCATGTCAATTATTTTTGCATGCCCCCCCCCCCCCGCCCACCCCGCTTAAAAAAATAAAATGCCTAAATGTCAATCTGAACAGGGGATGGCCTTTCTCCGTGTGTGTGTGTGTGTTAAAGAATGTATAGAATGTACACATAAAAATTTGTTTTCTGGTTAATTGCTTTTAAGATTTGAAGTAAATAACTACCGTATGAACAGCAGTTATAATACCCCCCCCCCCCCCTTTTAGCCGCGCAAATACCAAATAACTTCTCTTTCCACTTGTGATATTTTCCCTGACCAAAATCTGATCAGCACAGACTAAGTGTATCGACGTGCTAGTCTGTACAGAGTAATGACAGTGTGTTTACTATTGAGCTTTTATGGAGTTTATTTCTTTTTTGTGATGCATATTTCAATAAATGGAATTCAGGGTGTATATCACTTGACTTGTGCACATCTTCGAACCAATGCAGTAACCTTATTACCAGGTATGGGTACGTTTACAGCGTTGGAGGCATTTTCTCGATATGCATCAATTGCATAGGACCTGCAAATCAAAGACGTTGGTTGTCTTGTTACATTCAAATGATAATTATTTCAAAATGTGTTTGCGGATTTTACTTTTTTTCTTTATTTCAAGTTTATTCTGCATAAATTGGCGCACAGTAAAAATACGTACGCGTGCAACTAAATTTCTCTTCCAAACTTGCATTTTTTTTTCTTTTTTACTTTGGTTTCAAATCAATAATCATTCAGAAATATGATTATTATGTTGTTTACTGTGGTTTTGAAATGTCTTGATCACCTCATGTGTTCTCATATGCTTTACCATCGGAGATGTGCACATGTCGATACCCAAGCCAAAAAATCATTCAAGTGTAACGAGCACATTGGGGTATATATCGTAACAATGAAACAAGGTATCTGAAAGAAATATGGCGGAATACGGCTATAGTTGGTATGAAACAAGTCGTACATAGATGAAAATGTTGCGTTTTTAAGAATTCATGTCAGCTTTAAACACATAGTATAATAACATACCAACAAATTGCAAACCTAGCATGTTTACATGATATTCACACTCAGCTATGTAAAGGAAGGTCAGAGTTCACATTCCTTGTACATCGTATTGGAAGTTTAATTGTGACGTCATTGAAATTCAACAAGCTACAAAAATTGATTAACGACATGATCATGCGTAAATCACAACTTGAATTTATTTATTTGATCGATTATTTATGAAATCTTGTAAAATTGCAACTTGATAGCAATGCATTCGAGTAATAGAAGTAAGCCTTTTTTTCAAATATGACGTCATCTGCCTTAACATGACGCAGCACAGGTGATCCAGAGGACTAGATCACTTGTTAAATAATTACAAGAATGCTTAAATAAATAATATACCATTGACAATTTTTAGACCTAATCATTAAAACTAAAAGAGAGTAATTTATTAAATACAATCTGTATAGAATATGAATTTATCTAGTAGCACTGAAGCTGCACGGGGATAAGGAATGTAGAGAATATAGCTAAAATTATGAGCGTATTCGTGATTTACATCAAAAGTGCAAGGGCCTAGACTATTTTGTTTGAGCTGAAATTTGGAATATTTATTGCTTATATAGTGTATATTTTGAAAAGTGCTGGGAGCTGATCCTGGTCTGCATAACATTAATTTTATCTATAACAGAATTTAAGCGAAGTGGAAATTTTTAGCTATTATAAGCATTTTCGGCATTATTGATAGCAATATTACATTTTCTACAAGTATTCAGTTGCTTTGTTACAATTTTTTAAAAGAAGTAATACATATTAAGACGGTGTAAAGGTAACATTTTCCATATCGGTCCTTAACATAGCTGAGCAATTATAAACATGTTAACGTGTTAAACAATTAAATACCTACACAGTAGCACACTTATATTTTGTACAATTACAGCATATACCAAGTATATACACTTCGCACACTTACACGTTTCCCCCAATTAAGTCCTTATTTAGAATATATTACATAAATACCCCATGCAGATAACTTTTTCCTTTACAGTCACTCTTCTCTTAACACAACTATAGAGGAAACGCTATTGAAAATTGTGTTTATGTAAGAGAGAGGAATTGATCTCTAATTTCAATTATTCTCTTCATTCTAAAAGAAATACTAGACCCTTTAATTTCAAAATCCATTTGACATTAGTGTTTTTTTTGGCTTGCCATTTACAGACCATATGTAAATTTCCTTTTGTTAAAATCCATTTTTTATCTCTCAAAAGTCAATCTCCTCATGATACAACCACTACAGAATTGCAAAGCTATAGAAACTTCTGTTCATGTAAGTGAGAGGACTTTGATCAAACCAGATTTCCATTCTCCAACATAGAGGGTGTTATCCTGACCAACACACAAGGCCCGAGGCATCTCCATATTCTCATACTGTATATAACAAATGAATCCTCCATTCTCATCAATCATGTGTATTTTATCGTTCTTCATATCAGTAATGATAATTTTGCGTGAAGAATCCGTACAAATTCCGTACGGATCAAAGTTCCGGTCCTCGGCGAGACCTTTGTACCGGAATCTGAGCATTCCTACTTCATCCAGTACTACCACAGCTCCTTCATCCGACACACATATGTCTCCGTTACCATTTTCTGTGATGTACGTCGGACATTTGAATAACGGCCTACTTTTATCGTACTCATATTCACATATTTGTTGCATTGTATCATTTACAAACAACTTGCAGACTTTTCCTTGAGATTTTTCACGCGGCTTTTGATTCCAGAGACAGACTAGTAGACGGCCCGATCCACATTGTGCTAATCCATGTGGTTTAAAGCCTGTTGGTGTTTGTAAATACTTCATGTACCCCCATTGTTGTGTACGTCCTGTACTCTGGTAGATAGTAGATGGGCTTTTTATAGAGTTGTTAAGGATGAATAAGTAAGAAAAGGAATAATGGTAAAGTAAATAAGACTCATTGTAGGAGATAAATTCTTTGTCTCCACTAGCATTAAGTTGAAAGTCTCTGAAGTTATCTGTTTCCACGGCAACACATATTTTTGCATCACGACCTATGCAGAGATCATAGATATATTTCTTTGGACTGATGCTGATTTTCTTTAAAACTCTTAAGCCACGTGGAGATACTTCATTTATCGCCTGTTAAAAAGAAATTAATACATGTGTACAGTATTGAACTGTCTTATTGAAATTTTTCAATGCACTGGTTGCTTTAACACAGTTGTAATTAATAAAATACAATATAACAATCATATTCGTATTGTAATTGATGCACAGTTTAAGTTAAAAGAAATTATAACGCATTTGCATGTGAAGCCAATTGAAAGTGTTGGGGAGGGGGGGGGGGGGGTAAGTGAGAGAGAAAAAATTCAAACCTTCCCAAAACTTGACGATCAAAAAATAAAAGAAAATGTGCCCATTGTCCAAACACAAAAGAGGCTAAGAATCGAACTTCTTTCAGTACCAATTTTTTTTTTCAAAACACTACCACGTACCCCTTTTCTACCTAAACTATAACGTGCCTGTTGAAAGTGTCTAGCCTATGTAAAGAAGAGGTCATATGCGATATTTTAGAATAATGTTGCAGGTTGTATTGACCTGCGGTCTATCCTAAAATGTTTACTTTGACACAAGATACTACCAACAGTTCAAAGATAATCAAAAAATTCTTTACAGTGGAAGAAATGTACATGCAAATCATATATTTCTGCCATATCTAAGAAATAAATAGATGCAAGGCCAAAGAAATGAATTTTATACGATCGAGCAATAAAATGATTAACGACACTAACAGTAGAGATTGTCAATTTTTCCTACGTCCCGTCCCTTAGGAAGAATAAAAAAAGTTTCTTTATTGGTATAAACTCTCTTTCGAGAATTTCTCCCTTATTGAGACAACACCACTTTCCAATGGAGAACGTTAACTTTTAGACATATTCTCAGAACTGAGAACCATTGAGCAGTCAATCAGGTCTTTTTGTGACAGAATATACTCGGTTTATAAGGACTCATTTGAATGATCGGTGTCCTCCTCCAGTAGTAAAATTCGAACATGCGACAATAAGGATCAACTAATTATTCCGCGATGCTAGAGCAAACCCTCTAAACACTGCACCAAGTGGGCGATCAAGAAGTAATTAAACCCAAAGGAAATGGATAGACAAAAATAATAGGCACTCAAACGATTTAATTTATATTAACAAGTTTAAAATTTTTAATTTAAAAGTTGATAAACAAAATCTTAAAAAGGATTCCAGAACCTATGATAGTTTGACATTTTTCTCGGAATTCAGAATAAGAATACGATGCTAAAATATTCCAAATGACCTTGAATTTGAGCCCACACAATTTTTTTTTGATAGAAGCAACCAGAACAAATTACCAAAAATACTTCCTTAGAATTTATTTTATAGTACAAAACATAGTATAAAACAATTTATAGTACAGATCAACACATTTTATTTTAAAAGATATTGTCATAAACGGGTCAAAGGCACCGTTGTATTAGTTAAAAGGACTCTTACATATAGCTTCTAAGTAATGGATTTTTTAAAGTAACACAATGAGTCAAACTAATGTGCTTCTTTTAAGATATCTGTAGCATACAGAGACAGACTTGCGAAAATTATGAGTATAAAGCTAAGAAATGACAATTAAACTGCAAGGAAAGACTGTACAATATAAGTGCCGGAAAAGCAAAGATTGTATCGTTTTCGTGTCTCTCAATGTCTAGCTGCAGATCTGTAACGTTATGATTTTATATATTTGTCTTTGACCATAACGCTACAGAACCTGTAATGCAAAAAAGGTGAAAATTACGGTGCAATATTTTTTGTGCACTTATGGGGAGAATTTCTACACTATCTAGCATTGTTCAATCAACTACCTTTCACTTCCTAATTCTATACACATTCTGTAGCCAATATGTGTATTTTATCCACCTCCCAACCATTCATAGTTGTCTCTACAGGCAATACACTAGCTTGGAGTGAGTTTTCAGCAATCTAACAAATAATTTTAATCAAGTGAGTTCATCACTTGTAGAGACGATTAAGATAGTTAAAAATATAAGTTAAATAATGTGCTTAGAATTCGGGAGTGAAAGGTAGTTAATTGACCGATTGCCCAAAAGTTATCTTGTTATCATGTTTTCAATGAACATAGCATTAAAAAAAGGTACACTTCTGAGAAGTAATGAATAGAATATTTATCGATGCCAAACAATAATTCTGTATTAATATTTGTTTCATGTTTTTTTTTTAACTATTAATAGTTAAACACATTTATTAGGATAGAAAACTATATTGATATACCTTTTGTCTATATTTTTAAAATAAATAAATCGAAGAAGAAAGTGATCTTCAAGAAACTGAAGTTTTAATTAATCACTTGAAAAAATTCATAAAATAAAACAAAAAGTTAAATCAAATGAGACACACACATCCACCTGCTGAATATTAATGTATCTATGTACACGTGTAAGTATTCCTAAACAATATGAGTACAAAAAAATAATTCCACACACCCTTGAGTCCCTAGCTAGATTAAGTAAAGATCTTTCCAGAGTATTCATTTTATTTAATTATGGCCCGTTTGAGGGCTCCGCCCTCTATCATTTATTTACTTCAACTATAACGTATAACGGAATAATTATCTAAAGATAAGAAGCATATGTTCATAATACTTTGTACCATCAGTTTATGACGTCTAAAGTCGCGGAGGATTTGATCCTTTTGTCGTGGGTTTGAATCTCGATACGAGACGCGCGGAACTGTCCTTTGGGTTTGATCGTATAAACCGATGTTTTGTGTCGCAGTAAGTGTTGGGACGAATAAGATCCCTAACTACCTTATGGACCTGAATGCCGAAACTTGGTCTTAATTTGCAGCCCTCCAGCGACAAGGCGTGCATTTTCACACGAGTGCAAATTTTTCGAGAGGGGCGTACAACAACAAACAGAAATTAGTTTTAAGCTTCCTACGCCAGCAAAATGTGTAGTTAACTCTACTTAAATACAGTTAACATGAGATAACTAAGGGATATTTAAATTCATGAAAGATATTTATAATTTGATATGGAAAATAACATGTAAGTAGGAAAAGAAAAAAAAAATCAGTTTTTACCATTGTGCATCCATTTGAAGGCAAACACCACCACTATGAGACCTACCTTATACAACATCATTTATAAACTATGTCACAAAAGCAAACACGCACTGCACTCTGTAAAGGTTGAGGTATTTCTTTAAAATCGATATTGCATGGGGCAACCATTGAAAGAGTGTTTAATAAAGTCACGTAGGTGTCATTTTGAGGTATTTTAAATACACATCAATCTACAGACCAGTTACCCCATGAATGCAAAAAATACCAAAATAAATCTAGATTTATTTCTTAAAACGATTATACCGACGAAGGGCTTCAAATTTAGACCTATACTAAGCACTCAGAGCCATTGAGCAGTGAGGGAACTTTATCTTGCCTAGCCTCGTTCAACCAGACGCTCGGCTGTCTCCGTAAACTCCGACCAGCAGAGAGTCTGGTAAAGAATCACGTATGCGTTTGTAACCGTTAGAGGACGCTATCTTGTTTTCATTTTTAAGATCCTTTTTGAAAATAAATGTCAAAAGTGTTTCTTCTTCTGGATTGTGACTTAATATTAATAAACTATTCTTTAATTTGGGACTCCAAACGAGAAATTACAATATCAATCGAAGGAATGTGTTTTACGCAGGTAGGGCTACAGTACTTTCACTTTTGCTTTCGTACGGAATATTTGCAAGACATAATAAAACACACTTACCTATAACTGGTGGGCATTACCGTGAAAATTTCCTATCTAACATCTTTAACTTTTAGACATATGATTTTTACATCATTAAGTTATTTTTCTGCTGATTTATCATGTATTTATTTAAATCGTGTAGGTGTGTTCTTTTCAGCCAATCAAAAACTTTACCAGAATTTTGGTAAGCCTCGTTTTGGCGTCACAAACGATAATACGTATCTTTACCAGACCCTCTGGGTCGTCGGAGATTTACGGAGACAGCCGAGGGTCTGGTTGAACGAGACTATATCTTGCCAACACCTGCCGTGACACGGAACCTCGATTTTTAAGGTTTCATCCGAAGGACCCGATACTTTTACTTTCACTTCCAGTGCCGAGCACATGTCAAAGGAACAGTTGCTACCCATTTTATATCAATTATATATTTTTTATATTCAAATTATATACTGAAAGGAAAGGAAACGCAGGGTGAATTATATCTATTTGTCTTTTATTTTTTTTTCAGTATTCTTATCGAACTTTTAAAATCATTTTTCAAAGAGATATAACCAAAATTCCATTTGATTTTGTCTAATAATTCATGATCTATTGAAGCTCATATGACGATACCCCTCAAAAGTAAAAATCATAAACTCTCAATATCTTCAATGTTTCTCTCGCGCATCTGTCACAGCCTTGATTCTCCTTTGCATAATATTCATCAGAGTGTTTATTTTTCAAACCTTGGCTATATTGGGCATGGGTAACCACGGGTAATTATTCAAACGAAGCGCGCATGCGCCAGTGAGAGGAACACAACAGAAAGTTGTCCGGCTCAAAAAACCAAATTGCGGAATTGTTTTCTTTCATTTTTCGTATGAATGTAATGATTATAATAGTCTACTGTATAAATGGTGGTTTTTGTGGTAGTACATTTGTAAGATGGCGATTTAAGAGATGGTAGGACGAATAAACCGCCCGTAACATGCTTCGGTTTCGCGTTAACGTCATCGTCACGGTTGATGAAAAACAATTCCAGGCCTTCTTTGACAACGGGTTTTATGGGGTAAAATTTACAAGAAACTGCTTAGTAACCCGTTGTTGTCATTTTCATTAAATAGGCAATTCGTAAACCAGACCCCAGGGAACTTCCGTAAACTGTACCAGGATTGCAAGAAATTTATATCGTCTCTAAATATAAAAAAACGATGTGTATACATGTACCTCAGGTGCATCAAATGGTGCAACAAGATTTGTTGACAAACTCGTCGTCATCAAAGTGCACGTGTTTGGAGCTTTTTAGCGTTTTCCATACGTGACGTCATAAAGTTTACGGTTGAGTAATTCTAAACACTGATTTTGGTGCCTAGTAACTTAATTTCTCATCTGACCAATTTTCGTAATTTTCGGTAATGCGGTCAAAATATTTTTGAATATTATGCTACCCTGCGTTTCTTTTTCCTTTCAGTATATGTTGTCTCATTATAAACAGTTGGGATATGGGGAATATGCCCTTTGCAAACATATCAGTTGGAAATAATTAGAGCCTTTCCTTTGGTATTTATAATTAATTCAAATTAATACAGAAACATAGAAAAATTCTTGGAAAAGCAAATTATTGCCACAATGACGTTGTAGTTTGATGTATGTTGTTTAACGTCCCTCTCGAGACACCAACACCGCAAATTTTGTCCAATACTTGGCACTCTGGTTCTTTTAACAGTGAGGGGTCTTTTCCTGCCAACATCTATAGCGACACAGGGCCTCGGTTTATTAGTCTCATCCGAAGGACCGTTCTCCACGTCCCATAGTTATAGTTTGAACTGTGGCTTTAAACCAGTTGAGACCTCCGCAAAATGAACAAAAATTGCCTGTAGTTCAGGTATGAAGTTATCTTTTATTGAGCCTTTTTTATTTGGAAAGAAAGAAAAACACAATTCTTTGTGAAACAAATTAGTTTTCTTTCTAATTTTAGAAACAGAAATTTTTTGAGGAGATAAAGTGTCAAGAAATTCTTAATATTGGAACTGGAATAAAAGACAGTACAGAACCTGCCGCATCTGTTTCATATTTGGATTGTTACTGAATATATATACGATGAAGACCAAGTAACAGCTTAAACTAGTTAATGCATATTTTGCACATTAACATATATACAATTACAGATCGAGTATATTAATATCTTATACAATTACAGAATGTATATACATACAATATTTGCATGTAATACAATTACATACGTACCACAATAATATGTTTTTAATTAATATATACAATGTATATTAACATGTTAAAACATTGCTGTGACATCATGCCTTTGTTCTTGCAGTCTAAAAATTGACCTGTAGCCGTCCGATAATAATACAATGTGTAATTACAAGTCTGATAATATATTACCGGACGGCAATGATAACAAAATCGGACGGTATTTAAAAAACAATAAGAAGAGTGAAATTAAGGTTAAATATGTCCAGAAACCCCCAAAAAGAATGTTAGGAAAAAAATTCAGGGAAAGCAAACGCAAGGAAATTAAGTTGCTAAAAAATAGCAAATCCATGGATTAAAAAAAATCCGAGTTTAAACCTTCCACAACATTAATACTTTCCACTCTATAAAAGAATTTTAGATACAGCACTTTGAATAAGCGAATTTAAATCCATTTCTGAAAAAAGTCTGCAAATCTCCTTATTTTATGTTTGTTCCCCGATGGCCACACTTTTAAAACCTGAGAATATTTCCATTATCTAAACTTAAATTTCAGGGTAAAAATCCGCATTTTTACTTTCCATGGTGATGGTTATAATATCCCCCAAAAGTATGTCAGTATCAATGTCAATTTATGCACATCACAAATAAAAATGTCCCCCCCCCCAAAAAAAAAAAAAAAAAAATCTTTCACCACCGGACCCCTGTCCTGCGAAACTAAACGACTGCCAATGAATGAATGAAATGAAACATGAGTTCACTCACTATTTTTACTGTCTCATTTCTTTTATCTACTGATCAGACGGATAGAAAACAATGGATGCCTAAACTCCCATTGTGTTATTATCGGACTCCTCCAGGTAACTTTTGGACATTTAAATGGCAATGTTTTAAGTAAGATATATGCCTCATACTATTCTATATGTAAAATTATCAGACAGTTTTCGGCCCTAACGGGCCTCAAACAGTCTGATAATTTTACATATAGAACAGTATTCGGCATATATCCATTACTTATACAACTTGACAATTAGTCAAAAAGTATTAATTAGTTTAGTGCCTTGGAAGAGATTTGAAGGTACATCGAAAAGTTTATTGAAGATTTTATGGTCGATACAATGACCTTGTCAGCAAAAACTAAATAATCATTGAGTCAAATGCAAATGCTTAGTCACGTTTTTCATACATTGTACTTATTGTTAGTCCATTACTTATACACTGAATTGACGACGGATTTTTCCGATATTTCCTGATCCTGACAAGGAGTACACGGCGTGTGTGACCGGTCGGCAAGGGATGTTCACTCCTCCATGACACCTGATCCCACCTCTGATGTTTTGGAGGTCCGTGTTTGTTCTGGTCATATTTTGTATTGTTTTATGGACTTTTGATCTTGAATGCTGATAATTATCTGCATATGTTTCATGAAATGTATTCGTATTTATTTTACTACAGAAGTTTTGGATGTAATAGCTACTACTATACAACTTCTTTATTTCTACAAAATTTCTTCTGTAAAAATACCAGAAAAATATTTTTCTTATAATTAGTCTTCTCACGCCAATAACCATAGATAAATTGCTATGCTATAAAAACCTTTTGTTTATGCAAGAGATACGACTTTGATCGAACCAGATTTCCATTCTCTAACATAGAGCGTGTTATCCTTACCAACACACAAAGCCCGAGGCATCTCCATATTCTCATACTGTATATAACAAACAAATCCCCCATCTCCGTCAATCATGTGTATTTTATCGTTCTTCATATCAGCAACGATAATATTTCGGGAAGAATCCGTGCAAATTCCGTACGGATCAAAGGTCGGGTCCTCGGTGAGACCTTTGTATCGGAATCTGAGCATTCCTACTTCATTCAGCACTACCACAGCTCCTTCATCCGATACACATATTTCTCCGTTACCATTTTCTGTGATGTACGTCGGACATTTGAATAATGGAGTACTTTTATCGTATTCGTATTCACAAAAGTTTTGTCTTCCTAAATTTAATTTCCAAACTTTTCCTTGAGATTTTTCACGCGATTTGTTATTCCAAAGAGAGATCAGCAAACGTCCTGATTTAGATTTTGCTATTCCATGTGGTATGTATCCATTTGTGAGATGATTTGGGAAAAATGGGCATTCTTGTGCAAACTTAATAGAAAGATCTGAATTATTTGTGTTTTTTATTGTTCTATCAAGACTGAATACGACTTCTTCAGGCCTGTAAATCTGGAATGTACATAAATAAGATTCAATATAGGCAAAGAGCTTAATATCTAATGAATCTAGGTCAGACAGATACTGGTAGTCAAAGTTAATCTCAGTCTCTACGGCAACGTTAACTTTCCTTGAATCGTTAGCACAGGACAGGTCGTATATATATTTATTTGGACTAATGCTGATATCTTTCAAAATTCTGAAGACGCGTTCAGATATTTCTTTTCTTGTCTGTTCAATAAAGGAAATCAAAGTTTAAGTACAATTTTAATTCATTATTTATCATTAAAAGCCAGTCCTTATAGAACGATCTATAAAACAATCTTTATCATTAACACATCAATCGGATGATATCTATAAGAGGGAATTTTAAGATAAAACGTACTTGTTATCTAGATAATGGTCTCTAACAGAGACTTTTATAAAGATCATATACAAGTTATGTTCTTAAATCTATAATCCCCGTTAGAGTAGTTTTACTTAATAAAAAAGTTTTTTTATAGAACTACATTTAAAACTGTAAAAGCAAATTAAATTAGGTAAACGCTGGCTTTTATTAGAAACATATAAATTCATCCATAAAAAATCAACAAAATATAATACTATTCAAAATATTTACCATTTGTGAGTCAATCTGCAAATTTACACCACAAAGTTAAGGGTGCAAATAGTTTTGAAGATGCACCGTCCTCTCTTGAATTTATTTATCAAAAATTTTATCAGCACGATAAATCTTGATATCTGGTTATTTTGTTGGGCAAAGGACAACAGCCCTATGGCACGTCAGTATCGTCAAAAGTCGACGTTACAAAATATAAACGTCAGTAAAAAACATGAAAAATGATACATTACTTGACAGATTTTTACCCCAAAATAACGTACAAGATGTGTTTGGAAATCATATGCCCCGAATGATAGCTTATGACTAAAGTTTCATTTTCTGAAATGTAAGTAAAACTCCAAATAAATGTCAAGAAAACAATAATGCTGTTACCTCCATTAGCACCTAGGGTATCGACTCCCTTCTCTCTTGCCATTTTTTCTTTTTAATTCTAGGGCTTATATAGTCAACCTTTTTTCTAATTTTCTATTCTAATGTGTACTGTACCTTATTATTAATGTAACACTTTGACTCTCTCTTTAACATTTTGATTTTATAACCTAATAATAATCACTTTATACAAGTATAAAGAAATAAACAAAACAACCCATAATATACGACAAAAATCCTTTCTTTATTGCAGCTTAGTTCATGGCATAATTCTATAATCAAAGTACTCAGAAGTACAGAGAGCCGGGCTCATTTACAGAGTAGAATGGATTTCTTACATGAATCACGTTTATATTCTGATGAAAAAATTATTTTGAAACTATCAATATATATGATAAGACACTGACAGTGAGTTTTTCAATCCTAATACTACGGTCCGATTTTGTCAGAATCAGAATTAATCTGGTACCGCAGCTGAATGTAAACAAACAGGCCAGTCTGGTTCCCTCTCCTGCTTTATTTCGTATGTGTAGAGAACTACGGTAACACTGATTATCAAAAATCATTACGCTAATGAACTATGTTCTTTGACTTATGAAGTTTTCAAAGTCAATACTACTAATAATTATTTTATATAGATAAAACTTCGTTTTATTTTTGTTGCTTTATTTAGCGTTTGTATTCTCTCAAAAGCGGTTGAGAGTAAGAACTATATGTTTGCACGTAACTTTGAAACGGCAACTATGGGGTTAACATCCTGCCTTGAACAGGATCACATAAGCCGGCAATTGCTCTTTGAGCAATAAGCCCGGCTAAAAATGAGACACAATATCGAAGACTGTCACATCATACACATGTACAGCTGGGTTTAAGTAGATTGTTCTGGGATAATCGCGCTTGTTGACTGGTCAGTCAGGGTATTTCTTTCATTGGGAGGAAATTACCTTGACCCAATCATTCTTCCACTCACTGACATACAAATTATCATTCTCATCAATACATAAGGCTCAGGGCATTTTCATGTCTTCGTAGTACAGAAAAGAAATGAAGCCTCCATTCTGATCTATCATATGTATTTTGTCGTTTTTATATCAGCCACGATGATGTATTCAGAATCTGAACATATGCCATATGGATCGACGTGGGAATCTTCAGAAAGACCTCGGTACCAAAATCTGAGCATTCCGTTTTACCTCACCAAAACAGCTCCTGAGTCGCAAACACAAATGTATGAGTTGCCATTTTCTGTGATATAAGTTCGAAATTTGAATAAACATCTCTGCTTATCATTGACATATTCACGACACTTTCTATAATTGCCCCAGGCTTCAAATTTCGCGACCTTTCTTTGAGATTTTTCTTCTAGTTTACTATTCCACAAACACATCAACACATGTCCAAGTATACAATCAGTCGGTCTATGCGCAAAGTAGTCACAGTCAGGAATTAAGCCATATTCATCAGAACAAGGCCGTAACTAGGCTCAAATTTTCTGTGAGGCAAGGGTGCTGGGCATTCCTAGTCCCAGACGGGGCAAGGGTAGTACCTGATGGACAGTGATGGGGGGTTCAAGGGGGAGGGGGGTCTTGAAACATGGATATTAGAAAATAAAAGATTTAATCTCAGAAGGTTTTTACGTTTTGAATTGTGGCTGCAGAGCACAGTGGTTGGAGCGTATCCTATAGAGTCGCAGACAAAGGAGTTGATCCGAATATTACGGGTTCGAATCCCACTGCGGGATGTAGAACCCAGTCCTTCGGATGAGACCGTAAAAACCGAGGTCCTATGTCACAGAAGTGATGGCACAAAAATACCTCTCACTGTTCAATCATCTTCAGTGACCCTGAAAGCCCAGTACATGAACAAATTCAAAACTTGCAGCCCTCCATCGGCAAATACTGGTGTCTCAATATGAATGAGAAAGTCTTAGAAGCAGGGACAGAGATAAATATTTTTATGTCTATGGAAGGGGTGTTAAACAATCAAACAATTTACAAATAACATTTTGAATTATGTTTTACATGCGTTCCAAATGAAAATGAGGCACCTGCAGATGATTTACAGAAATTGAAACAAGAGTTGAAAATATCAATTTAGCACGAAGACACACATAATTCATAAGTTCAATGTAAAACCTTTTCAGGTTTCAGAAAACTCTAAAAATTTAGTGAGGCATTTGCCTCACTTGCCTCAATGGTAGTTATGGCCTTGCAGAATTTGGCTTAAAACATCTAACCAACTTCTCGAAGGTGAACAGGAAAGCCTTTTGGGATTTTAGAAAGGAAGAATATGATCCATTATAAGAAAAGTATCTAATGTCTCCTTTACGTAACAATTTCCACTTTGGTGAATAATTACCAGTATACATATTGTAGTAGTCATCGCCTTCTAGTGAAAGACATATTTATGCATTACAAGCATAAGACATATCGTTAACATATTTATTTCTCACTCATATTGAAACACCACCATTTGCCAATGGATATGGCTGCAAATTCAGACCCATGTACTCAGCACTCAGGGCCAATGAGTGGTGAGAACTCTTTTTAGAGGAGCACCTACTGAGACGTGACCTCAGTTTATAGGGTATCATACGAAGCAGAGGTCCCCCCTCTGTCAGTTGGATTCGAACCTACGACTATAAGGATCAACTCCCTACTCCGCGACTCTAGAGTAAACGCTCTTACCACTGCAAAGCAGGCGACCAATACAAGATCTAAAATAAAAATTTAAAAAAAATGAAGGATACCGGTATAGAGAAAAAATAACAGACTTTTACATTAACAATAATATTATTCAGAAGTTGATAAGCAATGGCTTAGAAAGAATTTTTTGAACCATGGGATTCCTATAGTTTTACAATATCGGAGCACGGCAAGGTGGGTATACGACTGATGAAATTCGAAATAAGAATTCAATGCTTTAATATTCCATATGATCTTGGATTAATGTTTGGATAAAACAAGAAGCCAATGGACCACAACAATCACCTGAGTAACTTTGACCCAGCTATTCTTTACTAGACTTTCCCCTAAATTATACCTACTTTGACCCAATTCTATTCCATGAGGGTCATGATTTTGAACAATTTAAAACCTACACTACCCCTGGATGCTTTCACATAAGTTTCAGCTTTTCTGGCTAAATGGGTTTTCAGAACATTTTAAAGAGTTATTCTATGTTTTGTTATGCGTGACTGGATTCCCTATTTGGACTCTCCCTAACCCTGGGGGTCATGATTTTTACAATTTAAATCTAATCACACCAAGCTTCTTGGGGAGATGATTTTTAGATTCATTCTATACCTGTTAAAGTAAAACTTGGATTCCCAATTGTCGTCGAGCCCTACCCAAAGGGGTTGGGGTTCATGATTTTAACAATTAAGAATCTACACTATCCCAATATGTTTCAACATTAGTTTCAGTTTTTGTTTTGTGAAGATGTATTCTATGTAATTCTATGTAAAATATGGGTTCCCTATTTGGGCCCCGCCCTTCCTTCTGGGGATCATAATTTTTATATTTTAAAATCGACACTACCTCAGGATGCTCCCACTCAAGGTTGAGATTTTAGATTCCCTGGCTGAGTGGTGCTTGAGGAGGAGATTATTAAAAAATTCTACATTTCTCAAAGTAAAACATGGACTCCGGATTGTGGTTCCGCCCTACCCCCTGTTGTCATGTTTAAAACAATTTTGAATCTTCATTACGTTCACCCAAGAATGCGTTCACGTAAGTTTCAGCTTTTCTTGCTAAGAAGTTTTTGAGAAGAAGATTTTTGCCACATGTTATATGAGGAAATTGACAAAGAGATCAGTAAGGTAGAAATGTTAAATAAAAAAGTTAACAGGAACTGGAAAAATATTTCAAGAGACGGTAGCTGAAATTAACAATCAATGAAAATATATAATATCTAAGATCTCCATGAGCTTCAAGCTAGATAGAATAAGACACAGTTTAATACAAATATTAGTTTAATACAAAATAATTTTCAATGGAATTTTATTTCGGTGTATGCCTGCATACACACAGTTTCTTAAAAGGAAGCTTTTTAATGTAGATTTTTTAAAACTTTTACTATAATGTAATAATTATCAAAAGAAAAAGTATATACTGACAAAACGTCAAAGACACTCAAGCTATAGAAAGTCAACTAGGAAGTGTCATTAATATCCTATAATGGTATAAGTTGAGGGATATTGAGTTCAATCTTCAAATGTACATGAAATACAATTGAATTTAATTAGAATAAATATAATTAATCGTACTACTTTTTAAAGATGACTTTACGTTAATCACTTTCAGGAATATTTTAATAGGCATAGTGGCCGTTTCTTAATCTAATGAAATATTTTTTTTTATGTTGATACCCAGTATACTTCAAACTATATATATATATATATATATATATATATATATATATATATATATATTTATTTTTGCTTATTGAAGTACATCAATTACAATTTAATATACATCACTCCAAATAGCTTGTTACAAGCCTACAAGTAGAATCGTTCTTCAGGGTGGATAGGGGGAGGGGTGGACTCCCAAGTCAGGGCTCCAAAAAATCCACGTGACTACGTGTTCATCTGGCTGTTCGGCATGTCTAATACACATTCCCTACGAATCCAAAAGATATAACATGTCTATAGGTTCCGTTACCAAAGCTGACGATAACTAGTACGACATTTTGAAATAAAAAAAAAACGTACGAGGGAGAATTTAACATTACGAGGGGTGATCAAACTATCTCTATATGTACAAAGCCACAATTCAGAATACAAAAAAATGGTACACACATAGTCATACACAAATTCTATAAATAACGTATGCTGAATAAAGTTTTGTTCCTTGTTTGTGACGCCAGTGTGAAAATGACGTCACTATGTAGATCACTTGTGACAGAAATGGTTGTCTCAGTCGTACTCGTTTAACGAACGAGCATGAAATTTATGGAATATCTTGAAAATTCCTTTGTAGCAGTGTATAATAATTTGTATACAGATT